AATTTTGAGTAGCTCTGTGCCATCTTTAGAAAGATGCTAGCCTGTCTTGAAAATCTGGATAGAGAAAAAGAGGCTGCAAATACACCCTCTTAAATTTAATAGATCTTTGAGATTCTTTTGTCCTACACATATTAAAATGAAGGACTAGAAATCAATTCCCTTCAAGGCCAGAAATGTGAGATAGAAGCCAAAAATATGACAAACCATTTGACTGTAATTAATCAAATAGCATCACTTTTTCTTCATCTTTTTTTTTCATTTAAATGTTATCTATAAAACTCTAGAACATAGCTAAATATATAGGTGCCATAAATTCACAAAGTAAATTGTTTTATTTAATGTTAGCATTATATCATGATCACTCCTAACCCTACCCTTCCAGTTATAGGACCATTGATGCTTATTTCTGTTGTTAATGCAGAGGATATGCTTTTCATGTTCAGTGACCCAGTTCCAAGAAGTATCACAATATAGAAGCCTATTTTCCACTTAATAAACATACATAATTCCTGTGAACATTAGCAGTGATTATGCACACTTACACACTCTAGGGCATATTCACCTAAACCCAGTGAATTCAAAAGATCTGAAGAAAAATGTATTTGGCCCTCTAGACTGCAAGAAACCCTAAAGAATGATAGGAACACTCCAGAATTTTGTATTAGTATATTTTATTTTAATGACAGTTTTGTATATTAATTTCTTAGCTCTCTGCTCACAATGCTAATGAAGTTTTATGTAAGATAAAAGAATTAAGGACTTTTTAGAAGAGAAAAAAGGAAAATTAAGAAAGCCAGGCAGGATTAAGTTAGGGTATTCTCTTTGAACAGGGAAATTCTAGGTTTCAGCCTGTCTGATGCTATTTCCTGCAGAAAAAGAGGTTAATTGGGATATTGTCAGCATCCCAAAAGGTGATATCTCATCACAGGTAGATAAATGAGAGGGTGAGCAGTGCAGATTCAAACAGGGACAAGATAATTCACAAAATGGGTAAGGTTAGAAGGAACCGCAGTGGTTTAACCTCCCTGCTCCAGCAGAGTCATCCTAGAGCACATGGCACAGGATTGCATCCAGACAGTTCCTGAATATCTCCAGTGAGGGAGACTACACCACCTCTTTGGGCAATCTGTTCCAGTGCTCGGTCACCCGCACAGGAAAGAAGTTCTTCCTCATATTCAGGTGGAACTTCCTGTGTATCAGTTCCTGTCCTATTGCTGGGCACCACCGGGAAGAGCCCGGCTCCATCCTCTTGACATCCTCTCTTCAGATACTTATGGACATTGATGATGTCCCCTCTCAGTTGCCTGTTCTCAAGGCTGAACGGGCCCAGATCCCTCAGCCTTCCCTCATAAGGGAGATGCTCCAGTCCCCTGATCATCCATGCTGCCCTCCAATGGACTTGCTCCAGGAACTCCTTGTCTCTCCTGTACTGAGTTGCCCAGAACTGGACACAACACTTCAGATGCAGTCTCAGCAGGGCTGAGTAAAGGGACAGGATCACCTCCCTCAACCTTCTGGCAGTGCTCTTCCTCTAATAGATTCAGAGTTTTCTACATCTTAAGGAGTACTTAAACCACTGTGATAAGGCAATTATATTACCTTCATCACTTAAGAGAGAAAGCAAAAGGACTCCAGTCAGTTGGTTTTGCCTGGACTTCTAATGTTCTAGATAGTTCTCTGTGGGAGAGGTTTGAAAGGTGCAAGTCCCATATAAAAGCAGATACATATACCCTGGAGAAATGTAGAATTTAATACCAATTCCACATTTGTTTACAGCATGCTGGCTTGAGTTTTAGCTTCTTCACAATGTTATCCACAGATTTCTCCCCCTCCCATGCTCTGTGCAGACTGTCGGGACAGCTAACTCGGTGTTTCAGCATTTAGGTCTCTTTGTGGCTCTGGGCTTGCAGTATATAACCAATTCTTCAATAAACTATTTCAGAAACTGCTGAAGCATTCACGTCATTCAGCATCATGCAGGGAAAGATGAGCCCTAACAGCTTGCCACAGATTTTGGATCCCGAGAAGAATCTATCTACCCAAAAATGAACCAATATTTTTAATGAATCTGTTATATTGCAGAAGATGCTAAATATGTAACAGTATAAAGTATGCTTCTGCCTATTAGCTGCTTATTTAAGAGGTGTTCTTGACTAAGTATTTTTATAGACACTTCCACTAAAAGCACTGCAAATAATTTTTCTGTAGAGTCCATTTGTGTAACTGCTATTTATTTTAAGCACTGGGTGATTGGTATTCATAATGGAAACTTCAATAGCAAATGTTTCCAAGCCAAACTAGAGCGATTCCCCCTTTAGTCAATACAGTCTTCATCTACATCAGTCAACAGCTTAGTACAATTGATGCAAATACGTAGACTTGGTAGAGCTGGTGTGGAGGACCTGACATCCACATCACACACGTTCTGGATGTTCTGCTTCACATCAAATCAAGCTTATTAGCAGGCATTAGATACAGTGACATATTAGGTGGGATCCCAGGACACCTCTAGTTACATTTCATTAACAACAACAACAAAAAAAAGCAGTTCCTGTTCTCCAACATCGTACACCCCACTCTGCAACTATGATGGAAGAGAAGTGGAGACACCAAGGAAATTCACCTCAAAATATTGCTCCTCATATAATATAAAATGTTTGGGCTCTTTAAGCTGAGGATATTTTTTACTTTGTGTGAGTTAAAAAAAAAGAGTTATCTTTGCATCTTAATTATATGACCAACACCTTTTTATCAATGCATGTGACAGTGCACCACACAATACATGAACAAAGAAACAATGTCATCTTAAGTAAATATAAATCTGAAATGAAGGTAAGTTTTGTATTTCTTTTCAAAATATATTGATCTATGGAAATCTTCTTCAATAAAATACAGTTTAGACCAACAGATAAATGTCATCCCTCCCAACTACAAGCTTGTGCAGAAGAATTACAAATCAATACATGCTTCATGTATTTTCACCCTGAACATGCTTTAAGGGGACTGAAGTGCTGTAACTGCAATCATAATGATTTGGTGCTGGTGGCTCCTCCTGGAAAGAGCAAATTTCGCATCTGGGGTTTTGTCTGCAGCCAGTAGCTGGAGCAGGCAGAATGTCCTGCACAGAAGTCGCCACCACGGCCAACATTCAGACTCTATTGGCTCCTCAGAGACATTATTTTTACAAGCATTTCTGCAACAGAAAGAGAAGTACAGCTCTGGATTTACTACAGCTAATCATATTTCTCCTCTGCAAAATTAGTATTTTGCCATGTATAGACACTGTATATAGGATGGCAATAAACTGGACTAAATATATGACAGTGCCATTACACAGCAAAACTCAAAACCCACAACTACCAAAGCAAGGGAGACGATTGTATTTGATGTGCATATCTAAAGATATATGAGGCCATAAAACTAAAGGCTAGATATTGCAGTTCAGTAAGATTAGAAAGCTGTCTTCAAATTTCAAGAGTGAAATACTGCTTATGCTTTTCCTGTTATTTTTTGCACTACCATTTCTGTAAACATGATATTGAATTTACTCTCTGGTATGTCTTCATGAGTAAAGTATCTTGCGAAATATCTACAAACACTTCAAATGCCCCTTTGAGGGGAGGTAGTCCTAACAGTTTTCAGCTGGTTTCAGAAGATATTTTTTCTCACAGCACACAAAAACTATTAAAAAAAAAAATTAATCCGTTTACTGAGATTTGCCAAAAAGAAAGTAATTATTGCTAAAGAGTTGACATACTTTATTAGGAATTTCATAAAGACCGTTTGCTTTTCTCAGAAACATGTATGAGAAATGACTAGATGTCTGCTCTAGCTGGAAGTGCACTCAGAAGAACTGTTTAAAATAGAAGTTATAAATTATCAGTCGATAACATGCATAATACCTGAGGCTGTAAAAATTCTTTCATCTGAAAATAACATCTATTACAAAGTCATTCATTTCTTAAGAAAAGGATTGTGAGGCAACATCTTGAGTCATAAATATTAAAATATGAAGACAGAAGCTTATTTATGCAAGCTGGAGTTGGAAGTTTTTGCTAGACCATTCATTAGAAAGAAAATGGGGCTAGGCATAATTTGCAGAATGATTGGGTTCAAGGCTGAAGAAATTTAGGAAAGAACTGTAGCATGCATTTGAGAGAAACGACAGTACCACTTGTCTGAAGAAACTGCCAGTGTGCTCAACACTAACTACTTACATTTGAAAGGCTTTTTTATTTTTATTCAGCCTCACGTATTTATGAGCTGTTCTGATCTTACTCTTCATCACTGCCATCCAATATTTCTTCTAATTAACATTACTTTGAAGTCTCTGACCTTTAGGCAGACATTCAATTCTGAATTAAAATATAATTTTCTTTGTAACATGAATACACTTCTTATGCTACCCCCATACTCTTCTTGTTACAGAATAAATACATAATAAATGTAAGGAAAAGACTAAATTGAACTTGATAAAATAATGAAAAATAAGAAGAAAATAAACAGATCAGCCTGCTTTTCCTTTCCAATAAAATAAGGACAAGTGACAGTAGGGAAAAAAATAAAGGCAATACTTAAAATTTATAAACAGAATTCCTTTGTGGACAGTGTTTAATTTATCTGCAGTTCATACTGCCATGAAACTTCATCACTGTCATATAAGTATGTCCAGCAATCACATGGTTTGTATTGAGCAGGACCACAACCATCTTTTGAGGGTGAAAGAGGCCCATGAATTGCAGAGCATAGAGAATATTTTTCTTGTGAATATATCACAGCTCTTTTTCTAAACTTTTGTTTCCAGTCACTGCAGTTACATGAATCTCTGGTGTGATGACAGTAGCACTTCCCATTTATCTCATCAGCATTGCTTCTCCCAGTAAAGTTATTCCTTAGTCTAAAAGACCAGCGAGTCTTGACCACGTTTGCTTTATGTTACTGCATAACTTTTTCTGCAGTCAAATAGTAGGAACTTAGTTAAAGTAAGTTAAATAACTTACTTTTACGTAGAGCTGCTGAAACTCCTCAAGGTTCAGTCTACCACTTGGACAGTCCTTTAGAAATCCTTTGTACCACTGTTTTAGCTCGTGTTCGTTGAACTCCGTGCTCTTCACCAGATCCTCCATCACCTCGGGGGCCAGCTTGCTGTTTTGTTTCCCCATTTTGCCTTGAAAATAAATGAATACAATTAGCCAAATGTGGCCATTAAACTGGAATTGACATAAAGATCGAACTTCACACTCGTACTCACTGCTGCTTTCAGTCAAACTTCCCAGATCTGTTAGTGAACATGAACCTTAGTCATACTTGAATATTGGAGGCTGAAAATATTGAAAAAGGCAATATTCTTCTTTCATTTAGGAATCTCAAGGCCTGGAGACAGACTACTTATTTGCCTTAAAATTAGGCAACATACAGCATTTTTTCACACTAAGATTGAAAAAGATTACTTAATTTTTTTCTTTGAATTTACCAAAAAAAAATCAGAAATTCAGGGATGTCCACAGAATTACTCTTTGTCTTGAAAATCTCTTCTGATATGACACCCACATCAGCACCTATTCCTCATAGGTCCAATGCTGTGGACAGAGAGGCTTGTAACATACAGCACGAGGTGTTCCACCGGGAGGAAGCAACGCAAGACTCCACACACTTGGTCTCAAAAAATGATGAAACTAAACTGGAAAAATAAATTTAATTCCTATATATTTGTACATATAAATGTATATATACACATATGTATGCATAGATGTATATTTATATATTTAATGCATAGTTGATATGCACTAGATGGTTTACATTTCACACTGTTAACTCCGGAGATGTTCAATGCATTAATCAAATACATTTGGTATACACACTTATAAATATTAAGCATAAAACAGCCAGAAATACAAAATATGCACGTATGTATAGATAAATACAGCAATTTCAGTATTACTCATGTTGGCCCTCTGAGATACTTCCACATTCTTTGACATTGCAAGAAAGACATCCTTTGACAGAACTTTAGAGAAATCCTCTTCTTTAATTTTTCCCATTCTGCTACAGTTTGCTTCATGACAGATGTCTTTCAGTTATTTTTTAGTCAGATGACAGACAACACTTAACTTGTCCTGTACAGAACTGCAAAGTGATGAATTTCTTTCCTGAGCCTAGCTTTGCATTTCCATTTTTATCTCCAGTTTAGCATCTATCTCTAATGACTGCACCACGCTGAATGCCTTGATTTCTAGTCCATATGACTACCCATTCCTGATACTAATCGATTGCTTTTGGCATATTCCCCTATTTCGAAGGGGCAATTTCTTTCTCCTCAGAAGGACATACTTAGTTCTATTCCAACATATCGATCTATTTATATAATTTCCTTTATGGGAACCTTCCTTGAGCAGGTGCAAAGTTAATCACTCCTCCTTCATCTTTCTGAACTACAAGAACCTGCTGCAAGGGCTCACCCAGCTGTTAACTAAGGGCAGCACACCGCTTGCTCTAAACTTATTCTGAAGCTTTGCCAGTCTCCCATTCACATGTTTTGGTAAACTTAGAACAAATATGCAAGGGTTTAACTTTTCAGTTAATTGCCACAGGAATAGCTGTACACTCAGATATCCAGAAATCAGCAGTTTTGACCGAACAACTGGTTTGCAATTCACAGTATTTAGAACAATTGCCCCAGTCTTATCTCTGAAGTCCCCATCTTCTCATGTATGACATTGACCTAATTTGGCAAAATCTGAATTTAAATCTCATGGAGACTACGGTATACTAACACAGTTACTTCTCTAGCTCCAACTCAGATAGCTTTTACATGAAACAATGACTGGTTTATTTGTTTTAGTCTTTATAGAGCCTGTTTATTTCCTGTTTTTGTTTTTGGTTTTTTGGTTGTTTGGTTTTTTGTTTTTTGTTTGTTTTTTTTTTTTATTTAAGCTCTGTTACCTTTGCAGTCATAACATGCTTTGCCTAGGACCCAGAAGATGTCTAATGATTCTCAGCAGTTATGGTAACTACCTTAGGTAGATTCATAAGACATCTTTTGGCTCTCTTAATTTAGCCAAGTGTTTTTTTACTTGACTCTTCATGTGGATTCTTATCCCCATTAATGATTAACTCAACAACACCTATCAATGAAAAAAAGCATCTTCAATGAGCAAAAATCAGGTGGTTTTGACTGACAATTTTTCTGTAATAGCAACTTTTAAATCTTTGTTGTGTTAACTTTAAAGCTCTTGGAACTGGCACTACGCAGGTGGAAGCAGACAGAACTGTGAATCTCAGCTCCATCTTCCAAAGTTACCTGTATTGTTTTCAATATTGTGAACATATAGAACATGTTCTATAGAACATCTATAGAACATGGAGATTAAGCATGTAAGAAGACATGAATAAACACACATATCCACATGTAACCTTTTCTATCATCAGATTCAGAGAAACAAGACACCAGCTTTCTGCTTCTGTGATACAGGTCCCTAATTTTGGTCAGCTGCTTGTCTGCCACAGGTAGTCCAGTAAGTCCCAAACACCTTCCATCCATATCTGATGTACTTCACCATAGAATATCCTACAGTAAATGAAAACCACAGCTGACATTTTGATAAACACTCTCAAACACTTATTTTTTCCACAGAATCAACCTAGTATTTGAGAAAGGTATAATTTGGGACTGCTGGGTTTGGTACTTTTATTTGCTGCTCCAGCACAGCATGGTGCATAATCTGCTAGGCTCTGTTTGAGACATGCTAACTAAGCTCGTCACAATGCCTTCCTGGAATTAGAAGCATTCATTCTTTCTCCATGTTTTAAAGCTCTTTTCTTACGGAATTGAATTACAATCTGCAAGAAAGCTCAAGAGTCTCATATAATTATCAAATATAATCTCACACTTCTGGCTATGGGAGATCCACCTTGTTTGGGAATAAAAACTCAAATACACAGATTATCTAGTTAATCATATTCTAACATTTTCTAGAGCTTCACTGAATCTCTTACAACTATTGAAAAAGTACAGTCACCCATTAGCAATGAGTATGCTACCACCAACACATTTAGTTTTCTAAATGAAAACTATTTTTAATTAACTTATAATCATGGTTTTGCAAATATGCATTTTCTTTGTGAAAATCTACGAATACGCATTAGGAAAAGACAGGAGAGAACAGCTGCACAATCACTAAGTTTTCAAGAAGAGGAAAGATCACTCTGCAAGCATTTCTTCTTTAGCAAATTTTACCATTTTAAACTATAAATTTGCTTCCAATTTCCATACTTCCAACCATGTAATGTGACAATTGAAACACTGCTATTCATCTTCCGTTGTGTTTTCTAGCAAAAATCATGAAAGGGAAAAGGAAAAAAAAAGCATCATGCTTTGATTTCAAGCCATTGTGGGGGAGAGATTCACAATAAACAAGGAACCAGGTATTTGAGTGCCACATGGCATCGATAAAGGTGTCAATTCTGTTCCCAATGACGTTACTCTGGCAGGAGAATGCTTATTAATACTAACAAGGACAACACAATCCAAAGTAGAGATCAAGAAAAACAGTAAAACTCTACTGTTGTGTAGCAAGTAGCAACAGCATTGAAGGTTGAGTTTAAAAACACGTCCCCTTCCTGAAATGCTCAAAGAGGCCATCAGCTGCCCAGAGAAAATGGCTTTTGAGAAATACTTAGTAGACTAGTACTCCAGTACTTCATTAAGTAACACCTTAATTGCTGCTTTTACAGGTCCATAGGAAGGTCAGATTTAAAAGATGGAAATTTATTAAACAGCCAATCCCCAACTTGAGGCAGTCCAGGCTGTGCCAGCAGCAGGCAAGTGCAATATAAGGATGTACCTGCCTGCTCTTTGCCCTGCTAGACCTCAAGAGGCCCATGCCAGCCAGCCTGGGAAGCAGGAAAGGGCTTCAGCAGCAGCTGGAACTTACTCTAAAATGGTTCACCAGCATGGGTTAGCAAATATTTTATATGATTTTCTGGGGCCTTTAGAGGGAATGGGCATTAAGTCATCATGTAGAAAGAGGAAAACAGTTCTTCTAGTTTTAAGACCTGGTATCATTTGTTTAATAGCTTTCCTGCAATGCTATCATGTGTCCCACACGTGCTTGTGCTATTTCAAATGCTCTCCACTCTCCACTCGATCATCATCCAAACCTCCTGGCCAAGCAAGGTTTTTTTCCCTGGAATATCTTATAGCAATTCCTGCACAGGTTTATCAGGTCTGCAGTTCTCACTTGGCTTGCCAGTACTAAGCTGCCAATGTGAGCACAGTTCTACAAAACAAAATTTTATTAAAGACGTAAGGAAAAAAATGTGAGTTCAATAGCAAAACATGACTTACGGCACCTTGTTTGCTGTTTAATGATTTCAGAAGATCTCCCAAACTGTTGCTAACACAGCTTCATTCGGACCGACTTCCTTCCCCTCCTCTCGTTGCCCTCCAGTCTCCTCAGCAAGTGCCCAGAGTTCAAAGGGACCAAGTGCAAACAAACAGAACTCTGGCTGTTCCTAAGGAAGAATTAACTGAGTGCTCCCAACGATCTTACGTTTGTGCTGAAAAAGGACCCGAATTCCACTGAGAAGACAGCACCAACTACGTCCAGCCCTGTCCTTGAAAACCAGTTCTGTGTTGTTTTGCTTACTTCCCATAAATACAGTTATATAAAACCATTTCCTTTTCATGTTGCTTCAGGAAAAGTGCTGCCAGGAGGTTGAGGGAGGTGATCCTTCCCCTCTGCTCTGCACTGGTGAGACACATCTCACCAGTTCACCAGGTCACTGGATCCACTGTTGGGCTCCCCCTCCAGACAGACATGGACTTACTGGAGAGAGTCCAGCAAACAACCACAAAGGTGATAAGCATTGGTCATACAAAGGAAATGAGACGGCTAGGGCTGTTCAGCCTGGAGAAGAGAAGGCTCAGAGGGTCTTATCAATGTGTGTCTAAACACCCAATGAGGGGAACAAATATGGCAGAGCCAGCCTCCTCTCAGGGGTGCCCAGGGAGACAAGAGGCAGTGGGCACAAACTCAGGTTCAGGAAATTCTGTCTTAATGTAAGAAAATGCTTCTTTACTGTGCAGGTGATCAAACACCAGAAGAGGTTACCCAGAAAAGTTGTGGAGTCTCCATCCTTGAAGATACTCAAAACCCCACAGGACAC